TTTTTTTTGTGTGACGTCAATCAACTGGGTCTCACTCACTTATGGACTCCCTGACACAGATCGGTCACAGTTTCACTTGCTTCTATAAAACATTATTTATCATTTTGATATACAGCGAAAGAGAAGGAAGCATTAAGAATTCCACTGTTACTCTTTTGACTTTTCTTTTACAAATTTGAGATCACTTTCAGTTATCTCTGTCTGGTTTCAGAAAAGCCCTAAATTGAACATTATAATTACTAGTCATGTGAAACTGGTACCGATTTAATCCCCTGATCTAACATCTTAGACAGTAAATGTTTCTGAGATTTTATTTAAACCAATAACAACAACATTTAGAGACCTAAACTCAAGACGATGATCAAAGAAAAGCTGAATATGATTTGAATGGTTTATCTTTTCCAGTAACACAAGTATATGAGAGCAAATGAGAGGTATCTCTGTAGCTAACAGGTCCATCGATGCTTAACGATGAATGAGAACTTACTTGGTATTGATATATGCGACGTAATTCTGATCTGATAAAGGACGTGTGTACTGTATATAATTTAAGTTCTACCATCCACATCGAATCCAGCTCCTGTCCAACCTCCTCTGCCTTTGTTCATGATTCCGATTCCTCTTCCCCTTCCTTGAATCTGCGGTTTCTTTTTCGCTTTTGATTCTCCGTCTGCTGTTGCTGGCCTCTGTCCTTGTTCTTTGCCTCCCTCCTCCTTGCCGTGGTTATTTTCTTCTTTTTCTTGGTGAGTCTGATTAGTATTGGCTGCTGCTGGTGAGCTTTCTACTACGGATTTAGTCTCCGGTTCAAGGACCTAAATATGGAACCCATTCAGAAATTTTCAACATCTTTTATATTTTACTTATCGCCAAGCAAATAGACTTGATATTCATGCATAGTATTAGCCATAGTTAGAAACATACACATGCAGGAATTATCCGGTGTCTCTTTTGTGAGAATAAGTTGCATTAGGAGAAACAGATGGAATATAAATTAGAGGTAGAGATTGATTACTTGCTGAATAGAAGTAGATGACCTATTTGGATTTAGTGCTTCTAGTCTTCTTTTCAATTCCTCAAGTCTGGCGTACTGTGTATTGCTGCTTTCTTGTACCTATGATTAAGTTTAGCAAAGATTGTAATTTGAATGTCTTTCAATAGGGAAAATGTAATTCCCGTGATCAGTTTTCGAAAAAGATAATTACCAGGCTGTTTAAATCTTCGCAAAGCCTCTGCTTGATAGCTTCTTCATCCTTCACAACTTTTGATGCTGCTTCAAATGCCTTGACAAGACAAAAAACTTATGTATAAGAAATCCATTCAAATCAAAAGAGATGAATGAAATGAATTAACAATCTCTCGACTTCAAATGTAGGGGTAAACTATCTCATGAAGAGTTAAATGTCTATAGGTCACAGCACAAGATGAAACGCGGTACTCCAGCAGTGAAAAGTAAAAACCAGAACTTCAAAAGGAAATAAACAGCAAACCGTTAATTTAGGCAATGATTTTCGGAAGTATTTATCATTTATGAGACCATGATATTGATATGAATTTTTTCTACAACTTGCATCATAGCTAAAACTGTAAAATCTCAAGTTCTGCTATAGAGAACAAACAGGCAACAGAAAAACTCTTATCCACCTAAAACTAACTCTGTCAAGTGAGGTCAGATAAAACATGACAAGAGAAAACATTGAGATATATTAGTCAAGAGAGATAAACCTTTCGCGCTTCTTCTTCTTTCAACTTTGCAGCATGGATCTTTTCCGTACAGGCTTCAATTTTCTTTCTCAAGTGTTCCAGTGCTTAAGATTTTAACAAACGAAGAAGAGAGGACAGTTAATTAGCCGTTTGATGAAGCAAACCAAAAACCACAAAGAATGACAGTTTGCAAACCAACCTGCTTTCTTAGGTCCAGCCGTGAGTTTCATTTCCATTGTGAGGTTTCCAAATTCCCTTTCGACATCCCTTATTTTTGTATAGTTCTCCTCAATGTATCTACAACATAATGATATTAAAGAAGCTCATCAAGAGGAAAGTTTCATCATCTTCCCAATAAACGAAACATTCTTTAGAGCATCCATGTTCCAAAGTCTCCAAATTCTACTAATAAAGATTCCAGTATTCTCTATATGACCGTTCTCAAGGAAAAGAATGCAGCTTTAATAGACATTAACCCCATCATGTTGAGTTCCAAAAACACTAAAAAGGAGACTCTCAGATCTCAAGATGCACACTACATTCCTTTTCAAAACAACCAAATCAATCAAACAATATCCAAAAATTATAAAAAAAAGAACTACTTACTTCTTCAACTGAAGTTGCTCTGCCTCGATTATCTGATTTCGAAATCAATCATCAGAAACAGCAGAAATCGCGTTTAGTAAAAGGAAATCACACGAACACTTGGTGGGATCATACATAAGAACACATACATCAGAGAAAAATTACTAAAATTACCTTCTCTGTGTAAGCAATAACAGGAGCTTCTCTTGCAAGGCCATCGGGACCGATCTCAGCCTTCAGTTTTGGATCCGAAGCCATCATCTCCTCTCAACTTCAAAAATCGAATCGAAGAATGCTTCGATTTCTTCTTCCTCGAGAAATTCAAAATTCTACACAAAAATTTTCACAAATTTTTCAACATTCCAATTATTCACATTACGCTTCCACTAACACGATCCGCGTGTAGTTTCCCACTCTTCGCTCTGGTCTGGATCGAGGAAAGTGATGGAGAAGAACGTGAGAAATAAGAATTATCGCGTCCCGGAATTTGACGGTGTGAAACAAAAGTTAAAAGTTCGTTAAGTTTTCACCGAAGACTCAACGTTCCGTTCTTAACGCCGTTAAAAATAGTACAATGTCGCTTATACCCCCAGCCCCATTTCCAATCAAAACAATACTTTGACTTCAAAAATCAATGAAGGGTGTCATCACGTGCTTACTCACGTTCCTTTCAACATAATCATCGGGATACTACTCGTAAACCGTAAACCGGTTTGAGTAACAATTTATGGTTCGCTTCAGATTTGTCGTTTTCCGTCCAAGAGAGTGCGTGTCGTTCTCGATCTAAAAACGGCGAGTAGTTTATAAAGCAGAAATTTTTGTTCCTTGTAGAACACCTAACTTTTAAAGTAAAACCAAAACACCCTCAATACTAAAACTCCGGGAGATCAACAAACTAGAAAACACACAACATTCTTGAGTTCCTACAAATTGGGAAAAAGATAACAAAAAAAAAACAAAAAACAACAACACAAAGATACAGTGAAAAGGTAATGAATTTGATTTCTCAATCAAAAGAGACTTTTTTCTGAGCCCTTTAGGAGCGAGCAGAAGCTGAAGAAGACAGAAGGTCTTGAACAGCATTCATGGTAGGCATCGCCGGAATTGCTCCTCTCTCTGTTACTGTAATGGCTCCACAAGCGTTTGCGAATAGAAGCGCCTCTCTTAGTTTCTTCTCATCCTGCAAATTCCAAAGAAAGTACCTCAGTTTACAAAAGCCAGAGAAAGTTAATGGAATGAAAGTTGAAAGAGATAAGAAGTAAGTTACATTGAGAATAGTGAGATCAGAAGCTAAGCTGTTCAATAGACCGCTCACAAATGCATCTCCTGCACCTGTTGTATCAACCGGCTTCACTTTAACTCCACCAACTCTACCTTTGAACTCCTACAAGATAACATCAGCTAAAACAATAAGTATATATCTGATATTGATTTAATATCGAAAAATGAAAATTTTTGAAAAAGACAAACGAACCTGAGTGTAGTATCTACAGCCATTAGGTCCTTCTGAGACAACAAGAAGCTTAAGATTGGGATGAAAGAGCTTTTGCAACACAACTTCATCATCATAAGGATCATCTCCACCAGTCAAGAATGTAATCTCATCCTCGCTAATCTGAAACACTCTCAGACAAGACTTGTGTCATTTTAAGTACTAGGAATGATCTGTTCATTCACCTAACTCTCGAAGTAAAAAAAAGAGCATACCTTTATAACATCTGCCAAATCCCAGATACTCATGATCTCTGTTCTTGCAGCTTCTTCTGATGGCCACAAAGGCAATCTCAAGTTCGGGTCATACGATAGTAGAATCCCTGAGGCTTTAGCGAGTTTCATAGCTGCAAGCTGAGTTGAGCGGCAAGGCTCCTCGATCAAACTGATGGATCCGTAATGAAAGATCTTGGCCTGTGATTAAACAGAAGAAGCCATTGGACTTATTCTCAATTGATAATGAGTAAGGACCAAAAGAGGGAAAAAAACTCTACCTTCTGGATGAGGTTTATGTCAAGCTCAGATTCCAAGAGAAGCATATCAGCACTCGGGTGTCTGAAGAACAGAAACTCCCTCTCACCATCAGCTCTTAATGTAACAAAGGCGAGAGCAGTCCTTGCCTTGTGGTCGAATCTCATACCGGAGTTATCAACATTGTTCAATCTTAGAATATCAGCTAACATACGTCCAAACTCATCATCACCAACCTAACAAAACAATTGAAAACTAAGATTGGAATCTAAACAACAAGAGAGCCTTTTGATCATCAAATTTGGAGAAAAAAATCAAGACCTTTCCAATGAAAGCAGAAGAGCCACCGAGTCTAGAGACACCAACTGCTACGTTTGCAGGTGCGCCACCTGGAGCTTTCTTGAAAGCTGGTGCTTCAGCGAGTGAAACACCTCCCACCGTTGGAACAAAATCGATCAACATCTCACCGAAACAGACCACGAGATTTTCTGAAGCTCCTGTGTCGATGGTTAGATTCTTGAGATTACCTGATATGAATCAAAATTCGAACTCTAAGAACCTTTTAATCAAACGAAAACACAAGATGAAAAGGCTTAGTCGCGTATACAGATTCGTTTAAGGCAGAATGAAAGCCAGATTTTCATAAGATTTGCATCTGAAGAAAGGAACGATATATACAAACAGAGATCTATAGAGCAAAACCCACGCGATACATCACCAAAGATCAAAGCTTTAAGGAAAAACAATCAAACCCAGATAGTTGATTCCATGGAAACAGAAAAAGAGCCTGATAAAGATCATTTCACGGCATAAGATCAAGAACAAAGAAATAGAAATGAAAAGGTGCAAGAAAGATTTCAAACGAACCTGAGATGGCGTTCTCACCCATTTTTTCGATTCCAGAGATCGTCGAGAACAAACGGAAAACAGAGGGATCTACGAGGAAACAGAGGGAAAATAAACGGAGGAGTTTCCGAAGAGAGAGAGAGAGAGAGAGAGAGAGAGAGAGAGAGAGAGAGAGAGAGAGAGAGAGCGAGAAGAGAGGAGAAGATTTGAAAATTCGTGTGCTTTTTTTTTTGCTAATTGTTAGTAGAGATGAAGAGACGAAGTTGGTTATTTATTAGTAGTATAGAGACGAAGTTGATGACCTCACCACATTGTGAATATTCCGGTCTAATACAAACACTAACCAGCTCGTGTGATGACGGTGTGAGTGTGAAAATAAATATCTATGTACCGACAAAATAAATTAAATAGGTTAAATCTTTTTTTATAAATGGAAAGAAACAAATGTTAGATCTTTTGCAACGTCTTCTTCAAGGCAAATTAAATTCTAAATAGCTGAATTTATTTGCTTTTATTGTTTCTTATTTAATCAACCTATGTATTAGTAGCTTTTGTTGATTTGGAATCGTTATTAATATTATATATAACCTATAATTATATATTGTCAAAGTGAAAATTGCGTGTTTAATGTGGCATGAAACATGATTAGGATGTTTTTTTGTTAGAAAGGAGAAAATCCTCGTTCTTTGAATGACAGAAACTTCCGTTCCTGATTTCTTTTTGTAGTTGTTTATGTCTTTGTTTATTTTTTTCCTTTTAAATTTTCATGAAAATCATAAGAGGTAACAAATTACCAATAAGTTCACAAGTTGATAAGTTATTCTACTGATTACATTAACAAACGAAAGCAATTGGTGGACAATACCATCAACTTGGAAACGAATTTATGCACTTGTTGCCAGATTTGACTTGCTGCAAAGTCTGCAAAGTGAGACGAAGAGGCGAACTTAGTTTGAGCTGATTCCGGTTAATCTCGGTCCAATCCTTCGGTTTACTCGCTTGAAACTAACCGGCTGCGTTTAAACATAATTAATGATCTGAGGTTGTGTTTGGGCTGTTTGGCAGAAGAAGGGAAGGAGAGAAGCCCAGGAAGAAGGAGCTGTTAGAGCATCCGCAACGCAGTTTCCACAAGCGTTTTTAGTAATTTTTTTATTAAAAAAATGAATGCAGAAGAGAAACAGGCTGAAGACGTTTCTTAAATGAGGACTGATAAAAACGTTTCTTCTTGGACACGTAGCACTTTTAATATTAAACAAATAAATAAAAGATTAAATTGAGTTTCTGCGTTGCAGATGCTCTTAGATTCTTTGACAGGCTTCTAAGAAGTACAGTAAAACCTCTATAAATTAATAATATTGAAACCACAAAATTTTATTAATTTATTGTGATATTAATTTATCTATAAATTAATAATTATTAATTTATCTATAAATTAATAATTATTAATTTATAGAAGAAAATTATTTTTTGCCCATCTTCTTCTTAAATTTTCTTTCAAATGATGTTATATTTAAGAATATAAACTTATATGCTTATAAAATGACATATAAAAAATTTAAAATTATGATTACTAATCATAGTAATCGCAATAGAATAACTGTTAACTGTCTATATAAAAATATAAATGTTCATTACTACAAAATTTATAAAACGTTTATGGTTATTATCTTTGATGTTGGTGCTGAAATTGAAGATAATACCATAATATATTTCAAAATAATTATGCGTAAGAAAATTAATTATCACATCTAAATTTTTTCTCAAATTTTGAATAGAGATAAAAAAAAACAACATTATAAGCTATTAACATAAATAAATAAAGAGTTGATTTTCTATAAAATTTCAAACTTAAATAAAAATAAACAACACATTAAACATATTCTAATATATTATATCTTACCTATATATATATGAATTTATATAAATATTAATTTATGTTTATGTTGGGACTATATATTTACATAGGAATTTCAAAAAAAATATTATCTTATTATCTTATCGAATTTGATGGATTTTTACATTGGCCCAATTCGGGACCAGAGAAATTTATTAATTTATAGTGATTATTAATTTATCGTAGAGGTTTTACTGTATTCTTTTTTCCACATTGTGTTTTACCACTGGACCGGACACCGGGCATTGTCATTGGATTGGGTGGATTATCGTACCGGTCCAATGAGTCGACCTGCGTTTGAATCTTAAACCATTATTTTCATTGGTTTTACGGAAACCGCATTCTCGAAACTTTAGAAAATTCTAAAAGTTGGAAATTGATAAAAACTTGAGTTTATATGTTTATATGATGAGATATATGTTTTGTATGTATATATATATATGTGTGTATTAAAGAAAGGAGGAGAGAATGAATGAACTAGGAGAGACGATGAGAATGAGAAAACAATCTCTTTTATTATTGATTCTTTTACACACATAGTTACTACAAGTGAGAGAGGGAGAGGTCTATTTATACACAGCATTGAGTCGGTAAAACTATGTCGGTAAAAGTTTGGATAATTACAACATATTATAATACTTCCTTTTAATTATCCATTACTAGTAACGTATTATGTACTGTCTCGTTAAAAACCTTATCATGGAAAAACATAATAGGACAAAAATTATAACAAGAAAAAAAGAGTATAGAACATAATCTCCCTCTCGAAATTGATGGATATAATTTTTCTTCATATATCTCGCAGTCGGCGCATTCTAATGCTTTGAACGTGTTTTCTGAATGATGTAGTAGGAAGCGCTTTTGTAAAGAGATCTGCTGCATTGTCACTTGAGCGAACATATTGGATATCCACTTCTTGATTTTTCTCGAGTTCTTGAGTGTAAGAGAAAAACCTTGGAGGAATATGTTTTGTTATGTCGCTCTTGATGAAACCTTCTTTGAGTTGAGCAACACATGCAGCATTATCTTCAAATACTTTTGTTGGTTCCGTATCGATGACTATTCTACTTGCACCTTGTATATGTTGAGTCATAGATCGGAGCCATAAATATTCTCTACATGCTTCATGGAGAGCAATAATTTCTGCATAATTTGAAGAAGTGGCGACCAAAGTCTGTTTTTGAGAACGCCACGAGATCGCCGTTCCACCAATTGTGAAAACATATCCAGTTTGCGATCGAGCTTTATGCGGATCTGATAAATATCCTGCATCTGCAAAACTAACTAGACCAACTTCGGGGTTTTTATGATAAAATAAACCCAGATCGATCGTACCTTGGAGATCACGAAAGATATGCTTTATCTCATTCCAATGTCTACGCGTAGGAGATGAGCTGTATCTTGCAAGTAGATTAGTAGCAAAAGCTATATCTGGTCGAGTACAATTTGCAAGATACATAAGCCCACCGATAGCACTCATATAAGGTACTTCAGGACCTAATATGTTTTCGTTATCTTCACAAGGTCGAAATGGATCCTTGTTAATATCAAGTGATCTATTGACCATTGGAGTACTCAAAGGAGTTGCTTTATCCATTTTAAAGCGTTTTAACACTCTTTTGGTGTAATTTGATTGATGCACAAATATCCCATCTTGGAAATGCTCAATCTGGAGCCCTAGAAAAAATTTTGTCTTTCCAAGATCTTTCATTTCAAACTCTTCTTTCATGTGAGTTCTTGCATCATCAACCTCCTTTTGAGTTCCAATCATGTTCAGGTCCTCAACATATACAGCAACGATCACAAATCCTGGCGAGGATTTCTTAATAAATATGCAAGGGCATATCACATTGTTGATGTATCCTTTACTTAACAAATATTCACTTAAGCGATTATACCACACGCATCCGGACTGTTTTAATCCGTAAAGTGATCGCTGTAATTTGACCGAACATATGTCTTTAGATGCTTCAGACATCTTTGATCCTTCTGGGATCTTTACTCCCTCTGGGATTTTCATGTATATTTCACTATCAAGTGATCCATATAGATATGCAGTCACAACATCCATAAGGTACATGTTTAAATCTTTAGATGCCGTTAGGCTCATTAAGTACCTGAATGTGATTGCATCCATAACCGGGAAATATGTATCTTCATAATCAATTCCCGGTCTTTGAGAAAAAACTTGTGCAACAAGTCGGGTTTTATATCGTGTGACCTCGTTTTTCTCATTTCTTTTTCTCACAAAGACCCATTTGCACCCGACTGGCATTACATCTTTAGGTGTTTTGATTATAGGTCCAAAGACATTTCTTTTATTCAGAGAGATTAATTCATTTCTCATGGCCATCTGCCATTTCTCCCAGTCAGGTCTTTTCTGGCATTCTGACATGGATCTTGGGTCTGGATCATCGTTTTCATTTTCAATTTCTTTGGATACCGAAAAGGAGAATATTCTATTTGTATAATTTATCTCACTTCTAGCCCATAATGTCCCACTTTGGGCGAAGTTAATGGAAATCTCATACTTTTCAGTATCATGTTCGTTATCTAGACAAACTTCTTTAATTGGTTCTTCTGGAACCTCTTCACCAATGTCTTCAAGACATTTTTTTTATTCGGTTCTTCTGAAACCTTGTCTCCCAATTTCTTTCTTTCGAGGATTTTTATCCCTCGAGCCCATCGGCCTTCCGCGCTTTAATTGAACCCGCAGTTCATTTGCTTTATTCCCATCAATAACTAGTTCCAGAACATTTATTTTTGATGGAGCATTAGCAGCGGGGATATATGATTTTGTCACTTTTCTCGTATCTGTGAACGCATCAGGTAACTGGTTTGCCAACCTTTGCAAATGTATGATTTTCTGAACTTCCATTTCGCGTTGATGGGTAGGGGGATCGAGATAAGCCAAGGTTTGTGTACACCATGTGATATCCTTTGGTGATTCTCTTGATCCTCCCCCCCCCCCACAACGCTGGGAATTCATTTTCATTAAAATGGCAATCGGCAAAGGGTGCCGTAAACATATCTCCAGTTACCGGTTCAAGATATCTAATTATACTTGGTGACGTATAACCGATATATATTCTCAATCTCCTTTGTGGCCCCATTTTTGTTATTTGCGGCGGGGCTATTGGGACATAGACCGCACATCCAACTATACGGAGATGGGATACATTTGGCTCTTTGCCAGATGTTAACTGTATTGGGGAATATTCATTAGATGCACTTGGCCTCATCTGGACCAATGCCCCAGCATGCAATATAGCATGTCCCTATACAGTAATTGGGAGTTTTGTTCTCAATAT